GTCTGACACTGGCGGACCTCCTCCAGCTCCTTCTGCTGCCCTTCAAGATGATCGAGGCTGCAAACAATTTCTTCTGGCCCCTGGGGGATACACTCTGTGCGCTCATGGGTTTTGGCTTCTACAGTGGCATCTACTGCAGCACGTGGTTGCTGGCGGGCATCAGCATCGAGCGCTACCGCAGCGTGGCTTTCCCCATGCAGTACAAGCTGTCCCGCCGGCCTGTGTACGGAGTGATTGGTGCTGTGGTCGCCTGGGTATTGTCCTTTGGACATTGTAGCATTGTGATCATTGTCCAATACTTACCAACCAACAATACTCACCCACCATCAGCCAAAGGAAACAATGTCTGCTACGAGAACTTCAGCAAAGAGCAGCTGGACGTGGTGCTTCCTGTGCGGCTGGAGCTCTTCCTCATCCTCTTCCTCATCCCCATGGTGGTCACCGTCTTCTGCTACTGGCGCTTCGTGCAGATCATGCTCTCCGGTGCCCAAGTGGGGGCCTGGAAGCGCTGGAGAGCCGTGGGGCTGGCCGCTGTGACCCTCTTCAATTTCCTGGTGTGTTTTGGTCCCTACAATGTGTCTCACGTGGTGGGGTTCTTCCAGCAGGGAAGTCCAAGCTGGCGGCTGTGCGCGGTGTTGATCAGTGCTCTCAATGCTTGCATCGACCCCTTGATTTTCTATTTCTCCTCCTCAGTGGTGCGCAAAGCCTTCGAAAAAAGGTTACAGATTCTGCGGAGCTGGGGTGCCTCACTGTTAGGGCGCTGGAGGGGAAGAGCTGGAAAGCTAGCTGCAGAGAGAGGAAATGAGAGCTTAAGTACATCCAATGTCAGTTTTACAGAGGACTAAATTCACCAGCTTGGCGCTATGTTTTTTGAGGAAGAGGACTCAAAAGGGGGAACAATGAACAGAACAGGGGCAAGTTCTCCTGTGCCTAGCTTAAGGGGCAAAGAAGAGCAGTGGGCATCTCAAATCCAACTCATCCATTGGGTGAGTGTCTTCATTTTATCTCCCGGGGTTGATGACATTTCCTTGTCTGTGGTTGGTACGGCTTCGTGGTGAGCCACAAGCCCTTTTATCCTTGGAATTCTTTACCTTCCCCACCCAGTATCTATCAGATGATAGTGTTCATTTATCCACTGCAGAGCTCTTTGCTCTGTCCTTGGCC